CTATGCCAGGACCCAGTTTTGTGACCTCTTTTGTCACCTTCTAAAAACTTTTAAATAAGATTTTAATAAAATTTAATTGAAATTTTATAGTTATTAACATTTTTTTTAAAATTATACCTGACATGAGAGAAGAGTTAGTTTCAGTTTCAGGATCTTTGTTGTATTCTATCAATATTAGGAATGAATTCTGGAAACTTGGGAAGTTTTCCTTGTTCTCATCTTAAATTCTAAATCTCAGATACAAATCCAAGCCAGGTATTAATTGATGGAGGAAGGCAGATTGCTAACAAATTCAGAGAAATTAAGTTTCAAATTATCATGTAGCTTGCATTAATTAAAGAAAAAATTGCTGAGAAAGAGGCAGTTTGCTTTTTATTCATGTTTCAGTACCTCCAAAGAATGAGTTGAAACCAAAGCTTTAATAAATTGTCAGAATTACATGCTACATTTAGAGGGAGAAAAGACTATGCAACACCTAGATCACTAATCTTTTTTTCAGCAGTTTGTAGGTCATTTCATTAGAAATTGTTGCTTGCTGCAAGTTTAGACCTAAATACACTTATCCTTTAAAGGCTGTCAAGGTTGCTTCAGAATTTTTATGCTCTTTGCAGATATTCCTGGCTTGGAGTGACTGAGTGCATCCCTAGGCTATTTAATTAATACAATGTAGATTGCATTCTTCTTTAAAGGAAATTGTAACACTTTAGTTTGCTAATTTAATGGCCCAGTTCATTGTTGATTAAACTATCAGAAACCCAATTACTTTTATGTCACAACCAAGTGATTGTTTTATTTCATTGATAGGCCTGAGATTCTGTAAATATGCTAATTTCTTGTTCTGGTGAGCATCCTACTGCCTGTTCTGTATACATTTTATCGCACTTTTTATTCATTTAGCAAACGTTTGAGCATTTAATATATCCCAGTCACTGGGCCAGGTGCTTTCTCAGCAAATTTTAGTTTTTAAGGTCTCTTATTAAATAACTTCTGGGATGTCTGGGATTTTTAAATCAGATCATTAACTACTTTTTTAAAAGGCATTATGTTAGAGGAAAAAATATTTCTTTGAAGCTATTCAAAAAGTAGTGTCAAAACACTACTCATGTGTTACTAATGACCATGTATTTATTTGTGGAAGGGTGGCAAGATATATCTTACCCAAATATGAGAACTCTTTGGGGAACGTTCAAAGCCAGATCTATTGGCTCTGATTAAAATAAGCAGAATAGGGGCGCCTGGGTGGCTTAGTCGGTCAAGCGTCTCGTCTTCCTTCAGCTCAGGTCACGATCCCAGGGTCCAGGGATCGAGTCCTGCATTGGGCTTCTTGTTCAGGGAGGAGCCTGCTTCTCCCTCTGCCTGCCACTCCCTCTGCTTGCACACTCTCTCTTTCTGTCTGACAAATAAATAAATAAATCTTTTAAAAAAATAAAATAAGCAGAATAAATGAATCCCTACCCCAAAAGGACTGGTGCTTCTCTTTTTCTCTGCCCTTTAAAGTTCTAGAAACAAAGTGTTCAAAGCTTGAATATTTTGTAACTATAGAACTGAAAGAGTGCTACAGGTCAAACCAGCCATGATTCATTCAGTGTGTAAGTCACAGAGTATTTTATAGAGAGAATATGGTTGTCCTTGAAAACAATAGCCTCAGAAGGCAAGGTGTTAAACCAGTTATGAACTAGTAACAATCTTGACTATAAGAATTAATTTTTATATGTGAAGGAATTTAGGAGGTAGAATTTTGCTGGTATTGATTTAGTAGCACAAAGATGGATGTTTTGCATTCTTTCAGCTGAGGTTTGCAATTTCCTGGGCTTTTGTTTGTTTGTTTAAGCCCAATGTGGGGCTTGAACTCATGACTCCAAGATCAAGAGTTAAATGCTCTACCACCTGAGCCAGCCAGGCGCCCCTGGGCCTTTCTTTGATCTCTCAAGGTGGCTAACCATCATGTCTGTTTTCCAGGCAAAATGTGGGAGAGAAGGCTAAGGGCAAAAAGACTGACTAGGCAACTTCCAGATATATCTCTAGCTGCTTATATCTGCATAGGAGTCTAGGAATTGTAATTTTTCAGCCACACTCGTTGTGCAGAGTTGTTAGTAAGGAAGAAGAAAATGGGAATGGGATAAGGTAGGCAACTAGAAGTCTCTACTACAGGTATTATCCCACCAGCCCCTGTCCACATAGGCACAAACCAAAACATGCCTCTCTCCCTGACAGCACACCTGGATTTATTATCCATGAATTGTTCTACAGCTTTCCGAAACTTACTTCTCTTTTCAGATTATACTCTCTCTCCTGAGTTTGTAGTGTTCGTGTAGGTCCCACAGTTTGATTTCTCTGGAAGCAGGATGGTGCAGTGGAAAGCGCACTGCACTTGGAATCAGGGAACCTGACCTGTAGTTCCAGTCATCACCAGTGTGTTTAGCTTTGACATCTGAGCTTCCTATTCTTCCTTTGGATAATGGAGTTAAAATGTCTTCTCTGCCTGTTTTGTAGGCTTCTTAGATGAGCAGATGAGCAGTTTTAATGTATATAAACGTACATGGCAAATAGTAAAGCATCATATGAAGAAATGCATTATGATGATGATGATGATGTTCAAAACCAAACTCTTCATCTTCCCACCAGAATGAGCTGCTGCTCCTAACTTTTTTTTATGTCAAGTCACAAAGTCTGGAAACCTCAGTATCCCTTATGGCTGCATCTGCCTCCCACCCCACATCTTTGCTTGCAATAGTCTTTGATACTATTATCCTAGTACTTCTATATCTCTACCATCTCTGCCTTCCTTACTGCCCCCCCCCCCCCGTTGTTCAGGGCCTTACTGTAACACTTTTTACTTGGCTAGTACAGTAGCTCTCTGAGTTAATTCCAGTCTCTGCATCTCCACACATTTCTCCATAGCCCTCATTTTTATTGCTAATGAATATAATGTACCATGGAAAAAATGTACATAACATTTAGTAATATTCAGTAAATATTTTTCTACTTTTAGACGTTAGGCTGTTTATATTTTCAGTTTTTATATTATGGTAGTAGATATCTTATGTGTATATGTAAACGTATATAATATATATGAGTATTCATATAGCTGATGATTACTTTGTTAAAAGCAAATTCCTATAACATGAGTTACTAGGTTAATGGGTGGTTATTTGAGACTTCTGCTTCATTTTTACAGTTGTTTGCCAAAGGATAGTACTAATTTATGTGCCACAAACAACAAAGTATTATCATGAATGTATTGCAACTTCTCACAGCCTAGCAAAACTTAAAAAATATATTATAAAAAATGCAGCTTGTCCATTTTTCATGTACACGGAATCCAGGCACTCCAAATCCAGGAAGGTTTGGTGGGTCGCGATCCAGGTAACCTTGTACTTACATTTATAGGCGAATATGGGTCAAGTCCCCTAGTGTGAATTTATCAAACATGTCAAAAGTGGAAAACAAGAACCTCAAGGAAGGATAGAAAATTTTGTTCCTGGTCATATCCTGTTTCCCTTATAGGCTCTTTAGCACTTAAAGATAAGCTGGGGCTTCATTTACTTAGAGATACCCAAGGGTGTCTTCTCTCTCTTCCTCCCCCCACCCAGCCCCCAGCTCTTCTACTGCCTTTCCCCTGTGAGTGTCGACCCTTATCTCCTCACTTGGGAGCACTGACTGTGTAGACGATAACAGACTGTCCTCACATGTCTTGCTTACTTTCATCAAAGGTTTAGGGAAGGATTCTGAGTATTTGCCCTTGTCTGAGCAAAGGGGCCAAATTGACTTAAATTTTCATTTTCTTTAAAAACAAGCCTTGCGTTCAGACAAGTACAAATTACTCAAGTTCCTTGATGACTCCTTCCCCATCCCTCTTCCTTTTATCAGAAAGTTTATTTTAATTTTTTAAAAATATTTTATTTATTTGAGAGAGAGAGCACGAGTGAGCAGTGGGGAGGAGCAGAGGGAGAAAGAGAAGCAGACCACACTGAGCAGGGAGCCCGACATGGGGCTCGATCCCAGGACCCTGGGATTATGACCTGAGCAGAAGGCAGCCGCTTAACCGACTGAGCCACCCAGGTGCCTCATATCAGAAAGTTTAGAAGAAAGTTGGATGATGGAAGAATTTGGATTATTTATGAGCTTTTCTTAATTTTTTTGAATTAAGTGTAATTACAGAATAGACAATGAATTAGAGGGTTTAGCTGACTATTCTAGAGAATCAAATCTAGAGAATCATAAATACATGCTGATGATATATATATGTATATATCTATCCGGAGTCAGAGTATGAAGTATTTTTTGACTTTCCCCCAAAATTTTCCTTTTAAGATGTCTTTAAGGGAAGACTTACTTGTTTCTTTTATTTAGCAAATACTTATCATTACATCCTATCCATGATTTACTTACAGTCTATAATCTGTGAAGTTTATTGAAGTACTCAGTAAGTCACGGTATTTGTTTGTACATATCCCATATCCCTTATACTGTTTATAGATGCAATTGAAGTGAAGGATTAACACCAATATCCATCCTAGTACATCTTTTACCTTTTTAAATTGTGAATGAAAATAATCCCCCCCTCACCCCTTTGACTGATGTGTGAATTCAGTAGTCTTTTTGGGTAAACACATGATATAGCAAGTAGAATTATACCTGACTCCAGCAACTCTAGTTCTAGAGTAGTTCCCATCAGCATTTCGTATACAACCCTCTATTTAGGAAATACAATTTTCAGAAAATTGTGTCTTTTAAAATTTAAATATGGTTGGAAAGCCTTTTTTAAAAACATTTTTTGACATGAAAATTGTAAATATTTTCCAACATTTAAAATTTAGTATGAAAAAATCATTTAAGAATTATGATTTTTGAGGTCAAATATTTATGTAAATAGTAATAAATGAAGTGTAAAATGTAGTATAATTGCATAGAAAGATTTACCATAATAGAAATGATATTAGCTATTTTTCCTTCATATTATATGAAATAACTTTATAGTTATCTATTTCTCTCCTTAGGTGAACACGTCAAACCTTTTACACCAGAGAAAGCAAAAGAAATTATAATGTCTTTACAACAACCTGCAATCTTCTGTAACATGGCTTTTGATTGGCCAGCACGACACTGGACTGTTAAACACCTTTCTGCGGTCCTTCGTGGCAAGCAGATACGATTCAGGATGGGAATGAAAAGAACAGATAGAGGTAGGACTACAAATAATCATCATCATAATGTCTCTTTAGTAGCAGTCTCACATTCTTAGCAGTGGTTTCTTTATCTCTAGAGAATCCTTTATTTCTAATCCTGTTTTTGACCATTTGCAGATGGGAAAGTTTTATTGGAAGTTTTAGAAGGACAGTTTGTGTTAAGATTTTTTTTTTTTTTTAGACTAAGCCTGTAGTTGATAACCTTATACAGTTGATAACCTTATAAGTTGTATTTGTTCATGTATGATGGTTCACTGAATGTGGTAGATACTTAATATTTGTTAATGTGTTATTATTTATGTTCCCCTGTGACTGGGAAGATGATTACTAAGCTTATGGTCCCTTTTACTTTTGACTTATGTAGAATGTGTCCTTTTATTTGTGGCTTCAGGCCCTATATTTATCGTGCTTACTCTCGGTTGTAATTTTATCTCTCTGCTCTACTCAGCTGCCTGACCTCTATGGTACTGCATAAATATGAAAAGTATGTAAAGCTGTCTTTTTTTCATCCTTTTAAGCAATTAGATTTTGCCAGCTTCTTCTTCTTCCCTGGAGACTTGTAACATTTTGATATTTTGCCTTATAGTCAGATAACACAGTTACTATTAACTCTAAAACTAGTTAATTCAAAGGAAAGAAACAGTGCTGTTTTTAATCTAAAGGAGTCCATAACCGTTGTCTGGCTTTAGAATGTGTATAACTTCTGTTTTGTAGTTTGGTGTCTAGAGTTTGGTAGTCTAATGTTTGCAGCATTGTTGGGAAGTGGCTCTGTGAATATCTATTAATAACTCAGAAGGAACTAGAAAATTACCCGGTTTCCCTTCTAGCTTCTCTAAACTTCTTTTTCTCGTGTTGACCTTCTCGTACATCTCTCAAAAATTACTTGGTTTTTGGTGTCTAGAACCCCCTTGTACTCATGGCAGGTAGAGCAGGATTAATACCTAAAACTCTTTAGCCTCTCATTCTAATCACAGACCAAAATGTTTACTGTATTTTAAAATTAAATGCTAGACCAGCAAAAGGCACATACAAATTTAGCTTGTGCTTTTTCTTTCTTGATTTTAGTCAGATAAATCTTCCATCCACTGAGGTGTCTCTTAGACAATAATTTGGAGATAAATAGGAACTGTAATTTTTTTCACATACCTGATTAGACTCCAAATACAATACGACCACTAATTGCTAACAGTTATTGAGAACTATTGTGTCAGGCACTCTTCTGAGTACTTTCTACATGTTAATTCTCTCTTAATCTTCTTCAAAGCCTCTTAGAATGGTACTATTATAAGCCTATTTTGTAGATGAGGCACAGTGATTTGACATTTTCAAGCTAATACTTAAGCATAAATGAAAAAAAATAGAAGGTCTCTGCAGTTGTGAGCAACTGCTCTGTTTTTACTAAAGATAATTTTTAAAAAAATTTAGATACAATTCACTTAAAATAAAATTTATCATTTTAAAGTATACAATTAAGTGGTTTTAGCATATGCACGATGTTGTGCAACCATCATCATTGTCTAATTCCAGAACATTTCATCACTTAATAAGGAAGCCCCGTACCCTTTAAGCAGTCACTCTCCATTCCACTTTACCCCCAGTCCCTGGCAACCACTAGTCTGCTTTCTGTTTTTATACATTTGCCTATTTGGGACATTTCATATAAATGGAACCATCCAATGCATGGCCTTTTGTGTCTAGCTTCTTTCATAGCATATTTTCAAGATTCATCCAGGTTGTAGTATATATCACGTTTTGTTTATCCATTCATCAGTTGATGGACAGTTGGGTTGTTTCCACTTTTTGGCTATTATGAATAATGCTACGATGAACATTTATGTACAGGTTTTTATGTAGATATATGTTTTCATTGCTCTTGGGCTTATACCTAGAAGGGGAATTGCTGAGTCATATGGTAACTCTGTGTTTAACCTTTTGAGGAACTGCCAAAACGTTTTCCAAAGCAGCTGAAACATTTTACGTTCCCACCCCACTGTATGATAATTTCTCTACATCTTTGTCAATACTTACCCTATTTTTTATTCCAGCCATCCTAGTGGGTGTGAAGTATTATCTCATTATGGTTTTGATATGCATTTCCCTAATGACTAATCATGTTGAGCATCTTTTCACATGTTTATTGACCATTTGTATATCTTTTTGGAAAAATGTCTATTCAAGTCCTTTGCCCATTTTCTAAAATTTTATTTATTTTTGTGCATGAGAGAGAGAGTGAGTGCATGCACGCATGCACAAGTGGGGGTTGGGGGGTGGGGAAGGAGCAGAGGGAGAAGCAGACACCCCACTGAACAGGGAGCCCCATGCAGGACTCGATCCCAGGACCCTGGGATCATGACCTGAGCCAAAAGCAGAAGGTTAACCAACTGAGCCATCCAGGCATCCCTCCCATTTTCTAATTGAGGTGTTTTTTGGTTTGGGGCTGGGAGGTTTGGTCTTTCTGTTGTTAAGTTTGAAAGAGATCTTACAGGTCTTCCTCAACTTATGATGGGATTAAGTCCTGATAAACCCATCATAAATTGAAAATATCTCAAGTCAAAACTGCATTTAATACACCTAACTGGATACATGGGTGGCTCGGTTGGTTAAGTGTCTGTCTTGGGCTCAGGTCATGATCCCAAAGTCCTGGGATCGAGCCAGCGTTGAGCTCCTTACTCAGCGGGCAGTCTCCTCCCTCTGCCCCTCCCCCTGCTCATGCTGTCTCTCTTTCTCTCTCTAATAAATAAATAAAATCTAAAAAAAAAAAATACACCTAACTTAGCAAACATCATAGCTTAGCCTAGCTTACCTTATATGTGCTCAGAACACTTATTAGCTTACAGATGAGCAAAATCATCTAACACAAAGCCTTTTTTTTTTTTTAAGATTTTATTTATTTATTTGACAGAGAGGGAGACAATGAGAGAGGGAACACAAGCAGGAGGAGTGGGAGAGGGAGAAGCAGGCTTCCCGCTGAGGAGGGAGCCTGATGCGGGGCCAACTCTGGAATCAGCTTGCATGGGTTCAGATTCTGGCTTACCATGTGACTTTGGGCAAGTTACTTAACTTCTCTGTATCTTACAAATCTTTTCAAGATTAAGTGTGTTTGTATGCATAAAACATGTAGAACAGTGCCTAGCACATAGTAAATACTCCACAAATGTTATTTAAAAATAGAAATAATTAAAAAATAAAAGTATGACTTCCTCATTGTAGAGAACATTGAAAAAAGGGGAAGATCCAAAGAAATGTAAAAACACTTGTCCTATTACCAAGAGAGAACCACTAGTTACACTCTGATAACTGTTTATGCAGGACTTTTTGTATTTTAAAAATAAAGTTGTATTAATTTTCACGGCCTGCTTTTTTTTTTTCACTTCACATGTCCTAAGCAGTTTCTCTTGATGTTAAGTGTGACTTTTAAATGGCTAACACTCTGTTGTATGCTAGTATCATAATGAATTTAAAATTTTTTCCTTTTGATTATGTAGATTGCTTAGAAGCTTCAAATTTATAAATAAGACTGTAGTGAGCATCTTTGGAAAACAAATCTTGTTCAAGTTTCTGATTATTTCCCTAGGATAGATTCCTAGAAGGAGAATGACTGGGTCAAAGGGTGTGAATGTTATCACGAGTTGCAGCACTATGCATGAACCTTCTTACACCAGAAACTTCTGAATCATCTGATTGCCCCTCTGAGTGGTGTCTGGTGACCCTGTGACTTACACACTACAAATATGTAGCATATCCACCTGCTTCTCTCATTCCCCATGGCCATCGTCTAGGCGGGGTTACCCTGCTCTCTCTCACCAACATAGTTGCAGTAGTCTCGTCCCTGGTCCCTCTGCACCCCCTTCCCTCCTGATCCAGGCCATTTTTCATATTGAAACCAGAGACAGTTTTTTAAAAAAACAAATCTCATCCTGTTTTTCTGTTTAAAACCCTTAAGTTTCTTCCATAACCCTTAGGCTAAGGGCCAAAATTTTTGTGTGGTGTAGAAATCCCTGTTTGCCTCATCAGCTTAATCCCTCTCCCTGAGCTCTGGCCAAACAAATATTTTCTTTCCAGCTTTTGTATTTCCAGAGGTTTGCTTCTCCTTTCTTCAAGGCCTTTGCATATAGAGTCCAGCCTTTCTTTTCTCCTTTCCCATTTTCCCTTACTGCAGCTTTCCCTGGTTAACTCCTCTTCTTCCTTCCGATCTTAGCTCAAATATCATTTTCTCATCGAAGTCTTTCCTGATCACAGCGCCTCTGCCTCCCAAATCAGGGGCAGCTTCTCGTTGTACCAGAGCACCTTGTATTTCCCAGTAGCACTTAGCTCAGTTTTAGAATCACGTGGTTAGTCTGTAAGTAATTAACTGTTTGAAGTCTCTCCTCCCCTCAAGAAGGGCTCCTTCCCGAGGGCCTGGGTCAGGCCTCACCATGGACTGAGCACCAAGTGGACACTCAGATATTTGTGGAGTGAAAGAATGAAAGGCCTTCAGTACACATGGCAAAGTGCTTCACAGAAAGGTGGTTTCCATTTACTCTCCTGTCAGAACATGTGAGGGTGCCTGTTTTGCCACTCCTTTACCCAAACTGAGATTTATCTTTAAAAAAAAAAACTGGACTAATATTATAGTCCAATCTCATTAACATTTTATTCTTATTTTATTTACTTAGAAATTCTTTTTGTATCTTAAAAATAGGTAAATATTCTAATATTTTCTCCTGACAGCTTATTTCCCTTTTACATTTTACTCTTTATCCTTTCCTTATTTATTTTGATGTATGGTGTTCGCTGACTTTTTTAGTTAAGTTGGAAATAACAATACCTTTTATTTCAGTACCATTTACTGAATAATCCTGTTTACCCCTACTGACTTTGAAATCATCTTTATTATACTACTGTATTCTTATAAATTCCAGCATCTGTTTTTGGACCACGTATTGCGCTATCAGTTTTGAAGCCTGTAAAACATTTCTTAAATGCTATTTTAGCAACTGATATATATTTTAATATTTGAAAGAACAATTCATCCTCCCTAATTACTCTTCTTTCTCAGTATTTTCTTAGATGTTATTGAATTTTATTCCTCTAAGTGAATTTTAGAGTTAAATAATGTACTCATATTAAACAAATCCTATTGGGATTTTAAGTGAAAATTCATTAAGTGTTGTAAGTTAATTCAGAAAGAATCTACCTTGTGATAATAGTGTTACCTTATTACACACAAACGTGGCATTTTCACCTAGCAAGTCCATTTCATCTCTTAATGAAAAGATTGGGGTTTTCATACAGGTCTACAAATTTTTTTAAATATTATAAATATAAACTTTTTATAGCTGGTATGAAGGAAAATATTTTTACCTATTATATTTTTCTAGCTAGTTGCGATGAGATTTTTAAAAGCCATTTATTTTTGTATGTTTATTTTTTTATGCAGCTATTTATTAGTGTATGTAGTTTTTTAGTTTATTTTTGTGGGTTTTCTCTGAAGACAGGCCCCTGATCTTATAATCAGTGATAACTTTGTTTCCTTCCTATTGAATGTATTTCTTATTTTTGTTTTAGGTCTTGGTTTGAGTTTTTCTAGAATGCTTGAGACAGTAGTATTGGTAATTATTACTATTTGAATTATATGTATCTCTTAGTTTATTTTCAGAAGCAGATAATAATATCTCATAGCTCTTTGAAACGATTCTGGATTAAATTCATTTGGATCATATGGGCCCAGTGGCAATACTATACCTCAATTGGCAGTAATTTGGGAAAAACAGTTGTAGAAATAACTCTAAGTAAGCATTTGTAGATGGGGGTGCAATGATGGTCAAAAGTACCCACATTCCATGCAGTGTTTCTTGCTTGTAAAATGATGAAGTCTAGGGGCGCCTGGGTGGCTCATTCGGTTAAGTGGCTGTCTTTGGCTCAGGTCATGATCCTGGATCCCGGGGATGGAGCTGCAGTGTTGGGCTCCCCTGCTCAGCTGGGAGCCTGTTTCTCTCTCTCTCTCTCTCTCTCTGTTCCTCCCCCTGCTTGTGCTCGCTCTTCCTCTCTCTGTTAAATAAATAAATAAAAGAAATGATGAAGTCTAACAAAATGGAGAAATATTTGTTTCCCTACTCTGCAAAACATATTTTAGGACTCCCTTTTATGAGGGTTAAGGCAAACTCAACTTACACACTACTTCCAAATCCTGAGCTCAGTTGAGCTTCTTCTTACCTAACACTTTGACAGTAAGTGGGATGAAAATTGCAGCTGCCTAGGCTACTTCAATGTTAAATGAAAGAACAATAATAATAAAGTTAGAAAGGAATAATTGCTTTGCAGGAAATAAACTAAGAAAAACAACTGTACTACCCAGAAAGAAATTGTCATGATAACAGAATGAAAACAGTACCTTTGGTGCTGCTACTTCCAGGAAGGAAACATTCAAAAGATTCTATTTTGAAATCACTATGTAAATGTAAAAAAGTCTGTCATTTCCATTCATTGCATTCATTGTAATTTTCTCCTGACAGTAACAGTTCTCACATGTAATTTTTGCCCTTTTAGATTTTAATTTTTTAAAGTACAGAACTTGCTGTGACAGAGAACAAAGTCCCTTGATAAGGCTGCAATACAGACATGTCTGTGAAAACCGGCCTACTATTGTACCCCCCAGGGACAAGTATCTCAAGTAATAGCTTTAGTATTCAGTTCGATCAGTTGGACTGAATTTTATGAAGTGAAAACTCATAAGACAGTGTAATGACTTCAGGCTTCCCTTGGAGCTTACTGAAATGACTATAAAATGACTCCTATTTCCCAGAACCATGCAGCTGTCTTGCCACATGGGTTTTTGTTTGTTAAAAAAAACTCTGTATATTCCTATGTTGTTGGGGTAAATTCTTTTTTTTTTCTTTAAGATTTTATTTATTTGAGAGAGAGAACAAGCAGAGGGGAGAAGCAGAGGGAGAGAGAGAAGCAGGCTCCCTGCCAGGCAGAGAGCTGGATTCGGGGCTCAATCCCAGGACCCTGGGATCATGACCTGAGCCGAAGGCAGACGCTGAACTGACTGAGCCACCCAGGTGCCCCTGTTGTTGGGGTAAATTCTTAGTGATGATGTTGTTAATATTAAGTATAGATAGATAGATAGATAGATAGATAGATAGATAGATAGGTTACAGTGGCAGGCACTGTTCTGAGTGCTTCTCAAAAATTGTTGAATTTAAATAGTTCTTAATATTGCAGATTTTTACCGTTTAGATAAATGTACCCCTGTAAAGTCTTCCTGCTTCTCAAGGTCAGATGACAGGTTGATGAAGTAGATGAGTTAGGATGACTCTTTGACGTACACCCTCCCGTCATTTACTTCTCCACCATTCTGAAGTTATAGGAAAAAGAGAGGAGGGGGAAAGAAGATCAAGATAATTCTAGGCAGTTCAGGTAGAAATGGAGGGAAAAGATAAAAGCTGTTGAAAGAAGAGTTTGAATACCCTTCTCGTCTTACTACTAATTCAGCTAACTTTTGAAGTTAATATAAGAATCCGAATTAGTGCCTGTTACTGAGCATCTGCTATGTTTCATGTATTGTGCTAACTGATTTACATGCAGGAGATCTGTATCACTTAAAAGGATTTCATGCTGACCATAATCAGATTTCTTGAATATTAACTTCCCAGTGTGCATTGATAATATTCTGCTTGTTACCAAAAAAATTTCATTTTATCACTATTTGGAAGAATAGTTCTTATATGAATAAGTCATCCCCATAATAACAAACCATTCTGGACAGACAATAGACTTCTCTCTCAGCTTTCCTGATCAACCCACTTCTCAGGGTCTTTGCCTTTTCCTATGTGTCTGAGGCACAAAATTTTGCATTTAATTAGGTAATGCCTCAAATTTCCTATTATTCTGGCTAAAGTTTTGGCTTTGTCTAAGTATGTTCTCAATTCAAGAGTATTACTTCTCTCTTTTATGTTCCCACAAGCCTGAGTACAGTGCTAGTTACAAATTAGGTACTTAATAAACGATTCTGAAATAAATGAGTTAATGAATAAATGAACAGACTTTACGTTGCCATTGGCCACTTAATGATTCTGAGGAGCTATGTATGATATATGTGCAATATATAGTCAGAAAATTTTCAAAAGATGTCATTGCTTTTTTTTCCTTTTTAATCTGGAGAAGTAGCTCTCAAATTTTTGGTCTCAGGATCCCTTTGCACTTAAAAATTATTGAGTTCCCCAGTACAGATTTGCTCAGGTGAAGTGTAATGGTCGTCTCACTCAGATGAGCAGCCTTGTCACTCTTTTCCTACTCAGCAAACTTCTTACACACTCTCTCGTTCGCCTTTAAATAGTCCCGGGGCTGGTTTGGCATGTATGGGAAGCATAGATTGTGTATAGAACTTTATTTCCTCCTGTCCTACATATACGTTTGTATTCTGTTAGTGAGGCAGATGGAAGCACAGAGAAGCTTAGCATGGCCCCTTCACAAGGATGACATGCAACTTCATGAAGCATTCCATATTTTCTGTAATATTTGGAAACGCAATAAATGCTGTACCTGGGGCGCCTGGGTGGCTCAGTCGTTAAGCATCTGCCTCCGGCTCAGGTAATGATCCCAGGGTCCTGGGATCGAGTCTAGCATCGGGCTCCCTGCTCGGCAGGAAGGCTGCTTCTCCCTTTCCCACTCCCCCTGCTTGTGTTCCCTCTCTCGCTGTCTCTCTCTCTCTGTCCAAAAATAAAAATAAAAATCTTAAAATAAATAAATAAATGCTGTACCTTTAAAAAAAATTGAGTTCCCCAATGAGCTTTTGTCAATGAGGATTATATCTAGTGATGCTTACCGTATTATAAATTAAAACTGAGACATTATTAAAATACAAAAACATAAATATGTATTCCACTAGTTGTCAGAGCAGTGACATCAACTAATGTCATGTAGCTTCTGGTGAACTCCACTGTACACTCGTGAGAGAATGAGAATGAAAAACATCAGAGTATTATTGTGAAAATGGTTTAGACCTCATAGACCCCTGAAAACATCATCTTGGAAAATTAATAATCTAAAGTATACCACTGAGGCACCTGGGTGGCTCAGACGGTTAAGCGTCTGCCTTCAGCTCAGGTCATGATCTCGGGGTCCTAGGATCGAATCCCATATCAGGCTCTCTGCTCAGTGGGGAGTTTGCTTCTCCCTCTCCCTCTGCCCCTCCCCCCTGCTTGCGCTCACTCTCTCTCTCTCTCTCTCTGTCAAATAAATAATATCTTTAAAAAAAAAATAAAGTATACCACTGGACTACTGAATCAGGCTATCCTAAGGGTAGTCTTTAATCTTAAGGTTAAAACCTTTTTACCCTTATGTTAAATCATGAGTATTGTGAGTGTTGTAGATGGTTCTAATTATATAGCAAGCACAAAAGTAATTTTTAATTAATGTTAAATGATAACTTTTTTTGGTTGAAATTATCATCATTTAAACAAACAATATTTGGAAATTGTGTTCAGTGTACATTTAAAATTGAGTTCTTTTCCATTGCAGTTCCTCAGTTTGAAACAACATGTGGTTACGTAGAAGCTACACTTGAAGAGTTCCTGACCTGGAACTGTGACCAGCCTACTATGTATGGACCATTTAGAGATTATGATCATTCCAAATTCTGGGCTTATGCTGACTATAAATATTTTGTCAGCCTATTTGACGACAAGGCAGGTATTTTCCAGGTAAGTCAATACATTCCTTTTAATCTTGGTAATAATTTATTCTTGAGAAAAGATCACAAATTAGAACTTCTCTGGTACCTTATTCCTTCACTGTCATCTTCTCTCAAAAGTGGTCACTGTAAGTCTTAAGTATTTTATCCACTCAAGCTAAAAGATTTGCTCGGGTGAAGTGTAATGGTCGTCTCACTCGAATGAGCAGCCTTGTCACTCTTTTCCTACTCAGCAAACTTCTTACACACTCTCTCGTTCGCCTTTAAACATTCCCGGGGCTGGTTTGGCGTGTATGGGAAGCATAGGTTGTGTATACAACTTTATTTCCTCCTGTCCTACATATACATTTGTGTTCTGTTAGTGAGGCAGATGGAAGTACAGCGCTGATTATTACTTGAAGAAGCATTCGCGAAAGCCTGGAGGCATTCCAGGCTACTGCTGCCCCCATCCCTCCCTGCTCTGGGGGGTTAGTACAGGTTAATGGTCTGAGGCAGAGTGTGCTGGGCTCCTGGTGTTTGATTGCAGAAGTCCTGCAGAAGTATGGGAGTGCTTGCGGAAGTAAGAATGTGGAAATTCTTTGTCATGTGTTGACATAACTGACAGCAGAGTTTGCAGACTACCATATCCTCTTTTAAGTGTTTTCTGCCTCAAACTGCCAGCTTATTTTGTGGGGTGATTTCGCAAACTCCCTGTTCTGGTTTCTGTGTGTGTCTTAGGCATGAGGCAGGAATGGGAGTAGTTCTAGGAAGCTGTTTGGATGACTCTGCCTTACCCACAATCAGGTCAGGGCTCCAGAGTCCTTTATCCTGCCCCTGGCCCATTGTCCAGAGAAGTATTTCGCCATCACTGCAGGCTGTCATGCTCCTACTATCCGGCCCCCTGCACTGCTCTCCTCCTGCCTGTCACCATTACCTGCTCTCTGGATTTTCCTCTCACATAGGCTGATAGTCCTTAGACTTTTTTTTTTAAGTTTTTATTTAAATTCCAGTTAGTTAACATACAGTGTAATGTTAGTTTCAGGTGTACAACATAGTGATTCAGCATCCCATAGATCACCCAGTGCTCATCACAACAAGTGCATTCCTTAATCCACATCACCTATTTCCTTTAACATTCAGCCTATATTTTTCTTTTTTTCACTTCAAGTCAAGGTGTAGATGCTGACATTTACATAGTTATTATAATACAATGATCAATGCTTTGTAGCTTTAAAAATTTTTTTAAATGCTTACTTAAATTTTGCTTTTTATAAAAAAAAGGAAAAATATATCACTTGTCTCAGAATTGTTAGTTGAGTATATATTTTTCTCATAACATGAGAGAATGCATCAGTTTTGAAAACATTCAGTAGATGCTTTCTGAATCGAAAGTCTATACCAAGGGCACCTGGGTCGCTCAGTCATTAAGCGTCTGCCTTCGGTTCAGGTCATGATCCCAGGGTCCTGGGATTGAGTCACGCATCGGGCTCCCTGCTCAGAGGGAAGCCTGCGTCTCCCTCTCCCACTCCCCATGCTCGTGTTCCCTCTCTGGCTGTGTTTCTCCCTGTCAAATAAATAAATAAATTCTTAAAAAAAAAAAAAAAGAAAAAAGAAAGTCTATACCAAATCTATTTACTCATTTTCAAATGATAATTTTGAGATAATTTTTTTCTTGTAACATTATCTGTGATCACTTTATAAGTCTTTAACCCTGGAACTTTTAGATATCATAGTTAACTTTTAGAGTCTTTTATTATATTTCTTGCACTGTCACCCATCCTGTAGATTAGTACTTTTGTACTCCATATTTCAGGTAAAACATTGTGTAATAGTAATATTTATCAAGTACTTCTTATACTTGGTGCTTTTCTAAGTGCTTTACATTTATAATCATCAAGTAACCCTATGATATAATAATTATCCCTGTTTTCGGGCACCTGGGTGGCTCAGTTGGTTCAGCGTCTGCCTTTGGCTCAGGTCATGATCCCAGGGTCGTGGGATCGAGCCCTGCATCGGGCTCCCTGCTTGGCGGGAAGCCTGCTTCTCCCTCTCCCACTCCCCCTGCTTGTGTTCCCTCTCTCACTGTCTCTTTCTCTGTCAAATAAATAAATAAAATCTTTAAAAAAAAATTAAAACTATCCCTGTTTTAAGAAAAAAGAGGCACAAAGAAGTAAACCTTTTCTGAAATTCTACAGCTAAGGAAAAGAGTAACCCAAGCAGTCTGTCCTGTGAGCTTTAACTGCTGCACTGTATGCATACACAGGGTCCGAATACATCTAGTTCTTTAGGGACCCCACAGCTGGGGTAAGGACTTCTATGTCTGCTGAGTCTGGGCTCGCTCTACCTTGCATGAATCTCCCATCTGACTCCATCAGTCGTTCTTTCTCAGCCCAGGCATGACAGCACTGGGCAGACATGTGTCCTGTCCATTAAGTGTGGATATAAAAGGCCTTTTGGTAGTGTGCCGGAATTCTAATTGAGCCCTTGTACAACTTGATGTTTTCAACTGAATGAGTTTTTGGTCAGCTCAATTATGGTGATTAATCCTCTGGATTAGAACAGGGAAATCTGTTATGAACAAAAAAATTCATTATGATTATATCATTTTTTAATCTCAGAGATTTCTTTTTTTTATTCTAAAGATTTTATTTATTTATTCATGAGGGACAGAGAGAGAGAGGCAGAGGGAGAAGCAGGCTCCCCGCAGAGCAGGGAGCCCGATGCAGGACTCGATCCCAGGACCCTGGGATCATGACCTGAGCCGAAGGCAGATGCTTAACCATCTGAGCCACCCAGGCGCCCTTAATCTCAGAGATTTCTGAGCACCAAGTCTTACATCATAGGTACCTAAGTTGTTTTCCTTTTACCAATATAATTCATTCATTCACCAAGTCTTACTACTTAACTATTTTAAGCTTTCTTCCATCTGTTAGAAAATGATGGGTAGTTAAACATTAAAACAGATAAATTTTTAAAATTTTTATTAATTCATTTAAAATAAAATCATTGTTTTATGTGAACATAATATTTTTATGAAAATAACTATATTCTAATGAGATTGGTAATGATATTAAAAAAGAAAATAACTATATTCAAAAAATTTTTAAATGTTATAAGAGGAGTGGCATTGTTTTACATTTTTGCAAGTCTTGTTAATGTCTGGCTTCATAGAAGATAGCTGTATTCTTCTGCTTCCTTATTCAGTCTGTTAAAATTTGTCAGTTTGTTTGAAGTATATGAAGAATATGTTGCCTCACACACATATGTGGCTGAAAAAAATAGGACTATTTTAGAAACTTTTTTAGAAAATTGTGAATTTTTTTTATACACCACCAAACTTGACAAGAGGTAGTTTCTTAAAGGTTGGTTTGTTGCAGTACAGAATCTGAACGCATAGTCAATGAACTCTTTGTACTTTTACAATAAAATCCATTGGTCCATCTTGCATGGAATGGCTCTTTTGTAATGCCTTTCATTGGCCATTTGGAAAATATTGGTTTACTGAGTTATATAGATCTTCCAAATGTTGACACATTTCTATATACTTCATTAAAAAAATGACATTTGTTAATATCACCATTCTCATCAGAGAAGTCTTTAAGTATTAAGAAACTTTCAAGCTCATGTGTTTCATGATACCAGGTTCCAAAATCATTTTCATTCTGTTCAAATATTTTCTAATTCCCTTTGTGATGTATTGTTTGACTTATGGATTATTTAGAAGTACAATGTTTAGTTTCCAAATATTTGGGGATTTTCCAGCTATCTTTCTGTTGTTGGTTTCTAATTTAAGTCCATTGTGGTCAGAGAACATATTTTATATGATTTCAGTCCTTTGAAATTTATTGTTTACTGCCCAGAATACAGTCATTCTTGATTAATGTTCCAGGTACACTTGAAAGTAATATGTATTCTCCTATTGTTGTTTTTTGTAAATGTCATTCAAGTCAATTGTTTTAAGTCTCCTGTATCCTTACTGATTTTCTGTACACTTGTTCTGCCCATTATTTAGAGAAAGGTATGGAAATTTCCCAACTATAATTGTATATATGTTTCTTTTTCAGTTTAGGTTGGTCAATTTTTGTGTCATGTATTTTGAAACTGTTATTAGGTTCATATACATTTAGGATTATTATGTCCTCTTAATCGATTAATCTTACATCATGATGAAATGATCCTCTTTCTCCTGGGTTTTTCCTTGTTCTGAAGTCTACTTTGTTTAGTTTGCCTTTGGTTAGCGTTAGCATGAAAAAGGAATACTTTCTATATGATTCCATTTATATAAAATTGTAGAACTTGCAAATAAATTTATAGTGACCAAAAAGATCAAGAACAAGGGGCCAGAGAGAGGTGGGTTACTAAGGATCACAGGGAAACTTGGACATGGTCAAAATGTTTGCCATCTTGATTATAGCGATGGTTTCTCCCATGTCCATATATGTAAAAATTCACCAAGTTGTACACTTTAAATATATGCTATTTATTATACATCAGTTATACCTCAATAAAGCTGTTTTAAAAAACAAAAGAATACAATGCTGCCTGGTACATTTTGGTTCCACTGTCTTGACACCAGCAGTTTATTCACCATTGTTTTTTGTGCCATCAGTGCAAACGTCAACACAGTGAAATAGGCAAATACCATCTTAATAGTATTATGAACATAATTTCAACCTCACAGGTCCTTTAAAAGGGTCCCAGTGACTCCCAAGGGGTCCACGGACCACCTTGAGAACTTCTGGTTTACAACATCACTTCTGATATTACTCTTTATTCCTCCAGCTCTGACTCCTTCTCCAATCAATTCTAAAACAGTTTCTCATGAAGATACATTCCAAGTCATGCTACAGATTAAATATTGAAATATATTAATCATGTTCACTAAAATTTCATGACTTAAAATTGTATAAGAATAGCGTTTAAAACTCTCCCCAATATAACTGATGTGACCTGTCCCCCACGCCTATGTCCCTTTTGTCTCCTTGATGAATGCTGGACCACTCTGTCCTCTCTCATCTTCTCACCTTTGCT